AAAAAAAAAAAAAAAAAAAAAGCCCTCCCCCAAAAAAAGAAGAAAAATAATACTATGATGTTATCTTTTTGTTTTTTTGAGAAAGAGTCTCGCTTTGCGCCCCAGACTAGAGTGCAGTGGTGCAATCTCGGCTCACTGCAACCTCTGCCTCCCAGGTTCCAGCAATTCTCTTGCCTCAGCCTCCCGAGCAGGTGAGATTACAGGCATGTACCACCATGCTCAGCTAATTTTTGTATTTTCAGTAGAGACAGGGTTCTACCATCCTAGCCAGGCGGTCTCGAACTCCTAACCTCAAGTGATCCACCCACCTCAGCCTCCCAAAGTGCTGGAATTATAGGCATGAGCCACCATGCCCAGCCTGATACTCTCTTAAGAGTGTACAGTAGGGCCGGGCGCGGTGGCACACGCCTGCAATCCCAATACTTTGGGAAGTGAGGCCAGGAGTTGGGGACCAGCCTGGCCAACATGGCAAAACCCCGTCTGTACAAAAAATACAAAAACGAGCCAGATGTGATGGCATGCACCTATAATCCCAGCTACACGGGAGGCTGAGGCACGGGAACTGCTTGAACCCAGGAGGCAGAGGTTGCAGTGAGCAGAGATCACGCCACTGTACTCCAGCCTGGGCGACAGAACAAGGCTCTATTTAAAAAAAAAAAAAAAAAAAAAGAGTGTATAGTGGACTAGGCTAAGTTTCCATCTTATCTATTTCTAAACATAATAGTTTGAACATATACAATCTAGACAAATTTAGAAAAATTCAGTTATCATATCACTCTTCAACTCCACCAATTGCAGAATCTTAGGTAGGACAAACCTTAGCAAATACCTGTGTCTGCCTGACGTCCGATGCTGGGGTTTGCTGTCTGGTGTTCCTGTGTGGGGAGGATCTGATTCTTTTTTTTTTTTTTTTTTGAGACAGAGTCTCGCTTTGTCACCCAGGCTGGAGTGCAGTAGCGCGATCTCGGCTCACTGCAAGCTCCGCCTCCCGGGTTCACGCCATTCTCCTGCCTCAGCCTCCGAGTAGCTGGGACTACAGGTGCGCACCACCACGCCCAGCTAATTTTTTGTATTTTTAGTAGAGATGGGGCTTCACCGTGTTAGCCAGGATGGTCTCGATCTCCTGACCTTGTGATCCGCCTGCCTCAGCCTCCCAAAGTGCTGGGATTATAGGCTTGAGCCACCGCGTCCGGCCGAGGATCTGATTCTTTGATTAACTGTTTGGTTCCTACGTCTTTATGTTACAAAGAGGACAGGTTTTGTGACCCTAATTAAGTACAGTGGGCTGGGTGCAGTGGCTTATGCCTGTAATCCCAGCACTTTGAGAGGCCGAGGCAGGCAGATCACCTGAAGTCAAGAGATTGCGCCACTGCACTCTAGCCTGGTGACAGAGCGAGACTCCATCTCAAATAAATAAATAAATAAATAAATAAAAGAAGGCAATCTGAGTCATGTTCTTATGAGATTCCTCTAGGCCCTGAGAAAGGCAGGGATACATGGAAATGTCCTGTTCTGATCTGAGAAACAACTTTCCCCAAATCTCTGGGTCTGAGAGACCTCAGCCCCTCTGCTCAGATGGTCCAGTTCCAAGTGTCAGTCCAGTGTCTACAGCTGTCTTTGAGGTGCCATCCTGAATTGTCATTGCCATCATAACAGTTGTCCCCTGTCCCGGGACACACCCCGCCTCTATAACCTTTCTTTACGTTTCAAAGCATTCTCGTTTCGGTCACCAACATATTTTCCCAAATTACCACCTCCAAAACTCTGATAGGAGGTAGGACAGCTACCACAGGTTAAATATCCCTTTCCAGAAATGCTAGGGACCAGATGTGGTTTAGATTTAGGAATATCTGTATTCTATTTACTGGTTGAGCATCCCTAATCTAAAAAATTTGAAATCTGGAAGCTCCAATGAGCATTTCCTTTAAGTGTCATGTTGACACTCAAAAACTTTAGAATTCTGGAGTATTTTGGATTAAGGATGCTCAACGTGTGCTACTGGTCCCATTCTGCAGACGTGAAAACGAAGGCACAGAGATGTTTGGGGATCTGCCTCAACTCCCAGCCTGTCTGTGGAACTTCTGTTTTTTTTGAGATGGAGTCTTACTCTCTCACCCAGGCTGGAGTACAGTGGCACAATCTTGGTTCACTGTGACCTCTGTCTCCGGGTTCAAGCCATTCTCCTGCCTCAGCCTCCCAAGTAGCTGGGACCACGGGTGCCCACCAACATGCCTGGCTAGTTTTTGTATTTTAGTAGAGACGGGATTTCACCATGTCAGCCAGGTTGGTCTCGACCTCCTGACCTCAAGTGATCTGCCTGCCTTGGCCTCTCAACATGCTGGGATTATAGGTGTAGCCACCATGCCCGGCCTATCTGCACAACTTCCAAGGACTGAACTCAGACTATCAGATTCCCACTCTGACATTCTTCCCTATACCCTCACTGCCTTCCAGGTCCAACACATGTGTGGAAGAGAATGCTGCTTAGTGGTGGAAGGAAACAGACTCCTCCAGCACCCCTGGTGACCCTTCCTTCTGTTTCTAGAATCTTTCTTAATGGCCAAGTCAGCCTGGCCCTTGGGGTCTTAACACAAGTGGCTGGATGAGTTCAATTTTGGAACATGTTTAGTTTCAGGGGCCTACAGGACATCCTTGAACCCACACAATTGCTTCACCACAAGCCTCCTCCAAGAGCACCCCTACTGAGGTGCTCAATGCCCTTCCGGTGTTAAATCCAGTGGTTCTTCCGTCCCTCCCTGATTCGGAAGCAGCACCTGACCCACAGGGCGAGTCCTCCCCCCGGTCCCAGGGCAATCACACTCTCGCAGCACATCACACACCTTCCGGGCCACTCCATCTCCCTTGCAGGCTCCTTATTTCCCTCTCCTCCAGGGCTGGACTCATACCCTCAGTCTTCTGACTAAATAAATACCTATATACATGTCTGATTCCAAAATGGATACCTCCACCTGGACTTGCATCTCTTGAGTATCTGAGTCAACAGCTGCCCGCCTACTCTCCCTGCCTGGATATCTAACAGGCTCCAAACTACCCGAATCCAAAGCTGAGCTCTTGGTCCTCCCCACGAGCTACCCACTCAACCGCTGGGAGTCAATCTTTGTCACCGCCATTGTTTTTGTCCACAAGCCCTGTCAGCCAGCAGATACTGCCAGCTTGGCCTTCAAAACACATCTTGAATCCACCCATTTCTCACCTTCCTACTGCTGCCCCCTGGTCCAAGCATCACCTCCACCTCCTCCCCATCCTGGTTCTACCTTTCACCTCTATTGTTTTTTCTCAACACAGCAGCCAAAGTGATACTGTTAAAACATAAGCCCTCATCTGTCCTCCTCTGCCCTCATGGCTGCCCTTTCCATTAGAGAAAAAGCCCCAGTCCTCGCCAAGACCCCAGTCCAGGCCTGACCTGCCTGACTCCCTGTTTTTTCTCTCATCTCCAGGCAGTCACTCAGGCCTCCTTCAGATCTTGACTCTAACAGAGTGATGTCTTCTCCAGCAACTCTATGGGATGCTGCAACCTACCCAATGACCTCTTCTGTTTTATCTGCTCACGGTATCCACAGAATTTTCTATATGTTTATTCTTTGCCTGTCTCCTCCTATACAGCAGGTAACTCAGGGATTTTCTAAAAATCTACCTTTCTGCTATGTCTCAGTGCCGAGAATAGTGCCTGGCATGTAATAAGGGCTACTACTAAAAAGGGGTCTGAGAGAAATGTCAGCCAGCCAGGAGCTGAGCAGACAAGACTGGGCTGAAAATACACATTTGGGGGTTGCTGAAGATTATAAAGCGATTATAATCGAAGTCATGGGAAGCGAAGGAACTACTCTTATTTTTTTTGCCAAATTCTCCATGTTACTATTTGAGGGCGAGAGAAACCACGGGTATTCCCCACACACTGTTAAAACTAGGCTGTCACTAAGCCCCTCTCCTTTGGATCATCTGGAATGGGGGGACCCATCCCACCCCACTGGGATCCTCACCCCAGAGTCCTGAAGGCAGGGCACAGGCCGCCCTGGGAAATTCCCGAAATCCAGCCCCCGTCCGGGGTTGTCTTACCCTCTAGTTCCAGCTGCACGGGGGGCGGCTCGGGGGAGCCCTTCGAGGGGCCGGGACCCGCCTGCTGGCGCCCCTTGATGTTGTACCGCCGGCGCAGCTTCCCCATGGCGACTAGGCCCTAGTGAGCACTACAGCGGGTCGGACCACCAAAGCAACCCGAAACTCAGCCCACGTGGGTTCCCGGACCACCAACTCCTGCCGTGAGACTTCCGGGTTACGTTATCGCGAGAGTTGTAACTGACTTGGCCGATGAGGGGCGGGGTTGGAAGAGAAAACATGCGAGAGGAGAGGCGGAGCCGGGTCGGTCAGGGGGCGGGGCTATTTAGAGGAGGCGGGGCCTGGGGTCCCCGCCCAGGCCGAAGTTTAAGTCCGGAGCTGTTCTCGCTTGCGGTAGTCTGGGTTTAAATATGAATTATATCTACTGATACTAATTTGGCTGCTTGGGAGTGGAAGTGTTTTGCCACCTTTAAAAATACACCTCACCCCCAATACTCCAAACTTCTTCCCCCCAACCCTGGTTTGCGCATCTGCATTTTCTGATATTCCTACAAGAAACGTATTAGTCGTGTAGTTTTAAAAAGGCACCAAATATTTCCATCCCAGGGACAGATGGAAGATCTAAAAGGAGGCCTCTACGGGCGCGGTGGCTCACGCCTGTAATCCCAGCACTTTGGGAGGCCGAGGCGAATAGATCACAAGGTCAGGAGTTCAAGACCAGCCTGGCCAAGATGGTGAAACCCCCGTCTCTACTAAAAATACCAAAAAAAAAAAAATTAGCTAGGCATGGTGGCAGGCGCCTGTAATCCCAGCTACTCGGGAGGCTGAGGCAGAGAACTGACTGAACCCAGGAGGTGGAGGTTGGCAGTGAGCCAAGATTGCATCACTGCCCTTCAGCCTGGGCAACAGAGCTAGACTCTGTCTCAAAAAAAAAAAATTAAAGTTGTCTATTAGACATCACATTGTAACACACTGGGAAACAATGCATTATTATTATTATTATTATTGAGATAAAGTCTCTCTCTTTTTTTTTTTTTAGAGATAAGATCTCACCCTGTGGCCCAGGCCAGAGTGCAGTGGTACAAGCACCACTCACTGCAGCCTTGACCTCTCCTCCCACCTCAGCCTCCTGAGTAGTTAGGACTACAGGGACACACCACCACGACCGGCTAATTTTTCTATTTTTTGTAGAGATGGTGTCTCCCTATGTTGCCTAGACTGGTCTCAAAATCCTGGGCTCCAGGGATCCACTTGTCCTCCCAAAGTGCTGGAATTACAGGTATAAGCCACCATGAAGGCCTTAATAACATTTTTAAAAAAGCATAATCAGCGTATCATATCTGTGGGGTTTTCTGTTTGTTTTCTTGTTTTTGTTTTTTTGAGACAGAAGTCTCTCTCTGATGCCCAGGCTGGAGTGTAGTGGAGCAATCTCGGCTCACTGCAGCCTCCACCTCTCGAGTTCAAGCTATTCTCCTGTCTCAGCCTTCCAAGTAGCTGGGATTACAGGCACCCACCACCATGCCCATCTAATTTTTGTATTTTTAGTAGAGATTCACCATGTTGGCCAGAATGGTCTCAAACTCCTGACATCAAGTGATCCCCCCACCTTGGCCTCTCAAAACGATGAGATTACGGACCTGAGCCACCGCACCCAGGCTCAAATCTGTGTTTTTATGGATTTTGTTGCTTAGGATGACAGTGATCTAAAGTTTCTTTTTAAAATGTGTTTATTTAAATAAATTAAAAGTTTAGAGGCTGGGCGTGGTGGCTCACGCCTGTAATCCCAGCACTTTGGGAGGCCGAGGCTGGCGGATCACGAGGTCAAGAGTTCGAGACCAGCCTGACCAACATAGTGAAACCCCGTCTCTACTGAAAATACAAAAGTTAGCTGGGCGTAGTGGCGTGCTCCTGTAATCCCAGCTACTTGGGAGGCTGGGGCAGGAGAATCGCTTGAACCTGGGAGGCGGAGGTTGCAGTGAGCCGATATGGCACCACTGCATTCCAGCCTGGGCGACAGGGCGAGACTCCGTCTCCAAATAAAAAAAAAAAAAGTTTAGAAAACCTTTAAAAAATGTTAAATAGGTATTAGTACACTTGCCTATATTTCCTTCTAAAATGTAATATATCAATGAATTACCTTCCAGATGGTATAGACCATCCTAGACAGCAAGAAGAAGGCAGGTACATAACAGAATGGATGGATCTCACAAATATAAAGTTGAACAAAAGCCGGGCATGGTGGCTCACACCTGTAATCCCAGCACTTTGGGAGGCCGAGGCAGGCGGATCACCTGAGGTCAGAAGTTTGAGACCAGCCTAGCCCACATGATGAAACCCGTCTCCACTAAAAATACAAACATTAGCTAGGTGTGGTGGCACGTGCCTATAGTCCCAGCTACGCGGAAGTCTGAGGCAGGAGAATCGCTTGAACCTGGGAGGCAGAGGTTGCAGTGAGCCAAGATCATGGCCACTGCACTCCAGCAGGGCAATAGAGTAAGACTCCGTCTCAGAAAATTAAAAATAAATAAAAAATAAAGTTGAACAAAAGAAGCCAACCCCCAGAGTCGTACTGTGTGGTTCCATTTACATAAACTTCAAACACATGAATTCCCTAAATTTTAAGAGGAGCCTAGTGAATGGGAGGGAACAAAGGGAGGCTTTGGGGGAAACTGGTAATGTTTCATTTCTCCATCTGGGTGCTGGTTACCTTGTGTATTCAGCTTGTGAAAATTCATAAAAATTTATATGATTGTGTATTTTTCTGTATATTATACCTTAATTAAAAAGTTTATTGTTATTTTTTGTAGAGATAGGTCTCACTATGTTGGCCAGGCTGGTCTCGAACTCCTGTGTTCAAGCAATCCTCCTGCCTTGGCCTCCCAAAACAGGCATGCGCCACTACACCCAGAGTAAAAAAACTTGTTTTTTTTTGTTTTGTTTTTGAGACAGAGTTTCACTCTTGTTGCCCAGGCTGGAGTGCAGTGGCTCAGTCTCGGCTCACTGCAACCTCCACCTCCCAGGTTCAGGCGATTCTCCTGCCTCAGCCTCCCGAGTAGCTGGGATTACAAGCAGGCGGCACCATACCTGGCTCATTATATATATATATTTGTTTTATTTTGTTTTGAGACAGAGTCTCACTCTGTTGCCCAGGCTAGAGTGCAGTGGCACAATCTCGGCTCACTGCAACCTCTGCCTTCCGGGTTCACGCCATTCTCCTGCCTCAGCCTCCCGAGTAGCTAGGACTACAGGCACCTGCCACCACGCTCGGTTAATTTTTTGTATTTTTAGTAGAGACGTGGTTTCAGCATGTTAGCCAAGATGGTCTTGATCTCCTGACTTTGTGATCTGCCTGCCTCGGCCTCCCAAAGTGCTGGGATTACAAGTGTGAGCCACTGCGCCCGGCCTCATTTTGTATTTTTAGTGGAGATGGGTTTCTCCATGTTGGTCAAGCTGGTCTCGAACTCCCGACCTCAGGTTGCCCGCCTCAGCCTCCCAAAGTGCCAGAATTACAGACGTTAACCACCGCACCCGGCCTACAAAAAAGTTTTTAAAAAGATAAACAACACAGGAAAAAATGTGCAAAGGATATGAATACATAATTCAAAGAGAAGTAATTCAAATGGCCAATAAATCTATGAAAACCTTACTAGGAATCCAGAAAATGTAAATTCAAAAATAAGAGCATTTTTTATTCTTCGGATTGGCAAAAATTGAGTTTTATTTTCTTGGTTGTCTAAAAAGAAAGTTGGTTAGACTTGATTTGTTTGATTTAGGATGCAAACAGGGTCCTTGCATTGCATGGGTTATTATGGTTCTTAAGTCTTTAAAACCAATTATCCTCCTCTCCGCTCACCTTTTACACCGCTTATTTATTGAACGAACTGGGTCGTTTGTCTCGTTGAATGCCCCACATGATGGAGTTGGTTGGTTGCTTCTGCTGCTTGTAAGTTTTCCTTATCTGCCATATTTCCTGTAAACTATAGGTTTGATCTAGAGGCCCCATCAGGTTCATGCTCAACTTGTCTTGGCAAGAATCCATCGCAGGTGGCGCTGGTACTTCCTGGCACTAAGACGGATTGGCGGGGCCGGGACTTCGCGGCTTGGCCCCTCCATTTTCAAGTTCCCCGCCAAACCCTCGCCTCTTGGTTTTACCCATTTCTGATGATCATCGCGTGAATCCATCATTCCATTGAGGGGTGCCAAATAATTTTCGGATTCTCTCATTCATCTTCATGTATTAGCCGGACTGTGCTAAAAGAAAGTTTCCCTCCCCTACTATTTTGGGGCTCTGAAATACAGTTCATTCAGGAAGAGCAGGAGGATGCCTGATGCTTTTTTGTTATTTAAAATTTTCAGAATTAATGAGCTGATGCCCACGAGGGCCAATTTTGGGGTACCATTATAATAAATTCAGGGAGATTACATATATGTCTATTTCATGTTTTCCAATCAGTTGCGGTCACTTCCCTGGTTGAAGCTGTAGCAAGTTTTACAGGCACGGGTTGCTTTCCCACGGATAAGTTAAAAGAAAGAATTTTTCTTTTAATTGATGAGAAGCCGTACCGGGTCGGGGCAGGCTT